CTTCCACCAAGCCCTCAGACTCGGCTTGGGACCGGCCCATCACGAACACCCGACCCGAAGGCCTTGCTCCAGTTGTACCTCGGCCAGCACTCCCTCCCGAGGATCCACTAGGTCTCACACCGGATGGCGAAGCTCTCTGATCAGGTTGGAAGCGGCATTCAAATGCCTTGTGTCCTCTTTCTCCGCACTTGAAACATCAGAGTGCCAAACCTTGGCAATCTTTCCCCACATGCTCCTTTCCACATCTCTTGCATGCCAAAGTCTTCTCTTGATCTCCATTCTCCGCCCGAGTTGATCCTTGCGGCGGGGAGGACGCGGGTCTGGATTGGAAGTCTTGTTTAGGTTTCTTGAAACTGTGGGACCCACTTCCCTCATTCCTCTTCTTGGCCAACCCAAACGACCCTCGCTGCAACTGTTGTACCCGGTACAGATCGGTCGCGCTCAAATAAGCTTCCTTCAGGGTTCTTGGCTTGCTCACAGTTAACGCCTTCCGGGTCTCATAGTTGAGCCCTGTCACGAACTTCTGCACCTTCGCGAGCTCGGTGGGGACTAGCATCCTTGCAAAGCGGGCGAGCTCCAAAAAGCGCTTGTGGTACTCCACCACAGATGACGAGCCATGCTAGAGGTGTAAGAACTCCTCGTACATGGCAGCTCGGACGTGTGATGGATAAAACCTCTCTCTCATCCGGTCCTTCAAGGCTGTCCAGTCGAAGTCGGGCTCTTCTTGACATGCGGGGCCCTCGTGCACCCACAAGAGATCAGCCTCGTGACTGAAGTAGAAAGAAGCCAGCTCCACTATACGATCCTCAGGGCATCCCACAACGGCGAAGATCTTGTCAAGGGTCCGGATCCACTCCTCGAGTACCACAGGATCCTCCTCTCCGGCGAACACCAGTGGCCTATGTCCCGAGACTAGACGTCCACATCCCGATGCCCGACAGGCTGCGGTGGAGAAGCAGGATGTTGTTGTGCAGAAGAGCTTCACTCAGGGTCGGCATGGTCTGCGTCAGATGTTGCAAGTTCTGAGCCAGCTGCTCGTTGGTTGGTGTCTCGGGCGTACGAGCGCGGTGACGAGGCGGAGCCATGAAGAAACTTCTACAGAAACAACAGGGTTACGGCAGGCACAAACAAACAGCGCACCCATACCTGGCGCTAACTACAAGAACGCTAAAGCTAAACAGAAACAACAAGGCAAACAGAATAAACGGTAAACAACACACAGCTCAACACGCGTCCTAGATGTCCTAAGTCCTAAACACTTAGATACTTAAAGTCATCTTAGGGTCTCAAACCACACTTAACTTCTTCAAGTCTAGACTCTAACATCCTAGGCTCAAACCTAGGCTCTGATACCAACTATAACACTCCCGATTTTACCATATTTTTAAAACTTAAAAACAAGAGATAAACAGTCTAAACATCGATAAACATTAAGCGGAAGCATGTCTATATGAGGGCATTATGCCACATCTTAACTGCTAAAGATGCACAGGCGGAAAAACTAAACCATACAATCAACATAATCTAAAGAGTTAAGGCACACAGGCCGCTCTAAACATAATGTCTAGACAAAGGATAAAACTATCTAAGCTCCAGTCTAGCGCTCTCGGTCTCTACTCAAAACCTGTAGAACAAGGAAAACATAACATGGGGATGACACCCGGTCAGCGAACATTGCTGGTAACCCATCAATACGCGTTAAATAGCATATATAGATAAGTATAAGTCAAAACCATTTTCGAAACAGAATACAGTATATATCATTTCAAAAGCCATAGAGAGAAATCAAATTCAAAGACTCATTCACACTCTCAAAGGAAAGGAAAATCAACATCCTTACGAAATCAACAAGACAAGAATACCAACTGTAACCAATACAACTCGAGATGCATTCTACTGATCACAAAGTAGAATACATCAAGACATGCTCATTAGCAAAGAATACACATTCACACATTGGCAACTACATGCCACAGTGACAACTACATGTCACAAGTTTCATAGTTCCAACCTTATGCCCTGTTCCAACCTTATGGCTACCCCCGGCCTTATTTCAGTTCCAACCATTACCTCCGAGTGCCACCCTGTACTTCTGAGTCCAACCTTATAGCGCCAGGGACAGTCGTCCCCCCTCCAACATAGCCTCTAACATACCACCTACATATGAGTACACGAGGGTACTATTCATTTCATTCACACAACCACCTACATATGAGCCTACGCTCAGGTCACACCACCAATTTCATTCATAGTCACACAAGTCATCATCATTACCAAGAAGACTAAGGTTCCACAATAACCTTAATCAAGTATCTATCAAAGGGTACAACGATTACATACGTTCACATCATAGAAATCAATCAATGGATCACAACAAAGATATGAAACCATACTCAACAACGAAGGATCATAATCCGACACCAAACGATGGTCAACACAAGTTGCCAATCTCAATAGGAAGGAAAAAACTTCACACACTAGCATTACAACATCAAACTAGCATGCTTATCAAACGGGTAAACCAGAAGTAGTTCCATAGAACATTCAGGACTCATCATTAGTCCAACGAATCACAAAGTTGTTAGCACGATTCAAGACACCAAATCCTACATGGATTCCTAACACACCGTTCTAGACATACGAAACATCAAGAAGACTCACAAATAGCCCAATAAAATAACATCGGGAGGTCAAAACATCAATACCGAGTCAAAAGAATCACGGGGAACAAATCCCCGCCAACCAACATACATGTTCCCCGCGGGTGGGGCCACGGGTGGACAACCACCCATGGTTCCGCCCACGGGTACCAAGCCCACGACACCTTGTTCCCCGCGAGTGGGGCGGCGGGTGGTGCCCTGCCCGCCGTTCCGCCCGCGGGTACACCCTGTACTCCAAAATAATCCCTTCGAGGATTTTCAACAAGTCCAAATTCAAGTCCAAAACACCCAAAATCTCACACAATACAACAATATGACTTGAACCCAAGAAATAGCCAAGCAATGGCATTCAAGAACCCTAAGAACAAGCTCTAAACATGCATTACCACAAGACAGTGCATCAAATCTCACAAATCAACACAATAATCACCAGTAGAAGCCAAGAAATCATCATATAAGTAAGAAAATAGTTTTTGTAAAGCATGGGTTACCTTTGTAGCCTAAAACTTCACTTTCTCACCCTTAGAAAGCTTCTCCTAAAGTTGCTCTTCCACACCAACTTCATAAACAAACCAAAAGACAACAAAGATTCTATTTTTAGAAAAAGACATCTAAAAGGAGGTTAAAATCACCAAAGGATCAAGGATCTTACCCTGCCCTATGCTCAAGATTAGGAAAGTAGGAATCTTGGAAGACAACTTGCAAGATTTATGATGCCCAAATTTTAGCTTGGAGAAGAAGCTACTAATCCTTATAGAGAAGGTAGAGATTTTGTGTTTAGATTGTTGGTGGAAGAAATGAAGAGATGTTGCTAGTTTAGCTTGAAGCACAAACTTTAGGTAGAAAGACACCTTTGCCCTTACTAAAGTTGGAAGAGTAAGGAAACAAGGGAACAACCCAATAAGCATAAGGTACAACCCTTTGACCTTGATTGAGTAGTCAAATTCTAGTCCTTCGACTATTGAATTTTCAAGATTTTAGGAATAAATTAACAAGGAGACTAGGATTAATTCTCTAATTAATCCTTGATTAGAGTTTGGATTTACGGGGTGTCAGAACTGTCTATTTGTTTTTATCCATGTGATGCCAAATCCCAAACTTGTTAAACAATGAATTACCCCCAATGTCCTAAATGAGGACAATAATGCTTGTGTTGCACACATGTGAGTATGTTAAAGAATATTTGACAAATCATATATAGCATCAAAATTCAACCTATATGAGCTCTAGAAGAATCACAAAATTATTGTGCAAGATATACACTCTAGTGACAATCTATTCCTACAATTTTTTGAAAATATATTTTGTGTGTGGGATTTGAAGATTGTTATCTTGAGGGGGAGTATCATTTTACATGGATCAATCTTGAAGAATGGGTCCTGAAGATCAACAGCTGTACTCTTTTTTCCTTTGATTAAGTTTTGATATTATTTTCATAATTAAAGGTTTTTTTGAGGAAGCTAGTTCAACAGATGAATACTCATATCATGTACTCTTTTCCTCAATGAGTTTTTCCCACCGGGTTTTTCTAGTGAGGTTTTTAACGAGGCATGATTATGGTATAGTAATGTTAAGAAGATTATACCCTGAAGGTTTATGATTAGTTTATGGTTGTACTCATTTTCCTTTAGCTAAGTTTTTCTCACTGGATTTTCTTAGCATAAAGGTTTTTTGAGGCAACCCTTATAACACATGATTATACATACATTGTGTACTCTTTTCCTTGACTAGGTTTTTCCCACAAGGTTTTCCTAGCATGATTTTTAACAAGGCATGGATGAACGTAACTCTTTCATTCAGTTCTAACAGAAGAACGATTACAATAGTAAAGGAGATGCAAAGCTGAAATAACTCCTAACTATTAGGAAAGTCATACAGGACTAAATCAACTAATACACAACTATGTAACATAATAATAATAAATAATAACAATAATAATAACATCACTAACACACCCCCTCAAGCTCAAGAGTGGTGAGAGACAATGTTGAGCTTGTCACGGAGCATAGAGAACCTTGATGCAGGCAATGGTTTAGTGAAGACATCTGCCAGCTGATCTTTAGTGGACACAAAATTAACTATGAAGTTCCCAGCAGCGACCCTGTCCCGGACAAAGTGGAAGTCAATTTCAATATGTTTAGTCCTGGCGTGAAAAATGGGATTAGCGCAAAGATATGTGGCGCCCAGGTTGTCACACCACAAGGTAGCCGGCTCGCCGGTGTGCAAACCAATTTCCCGAAGTAGAGACACAATCCAAGTAACTTCTGCAGAGACATCGGCTAGGGCTTTATACTCAGCTTCAGTCAAGGAGCGGGCAACGGTACGCTGCTTCCGAGAGAGCTAAGAAACAAGATTAGAACCTAAGAAGACAGCATACCCACTTGTGCTTTTTCTGTCGACAGGACACCCAGCCCAGTCGGAGTCCGAGAAGGCGTGAATAGTTGTGGAGGTCGATGGTGACAGACGTAGCCCGCATTCCAGAGTGCCCTTGATATACCGTAAGACTCGTTTCAAAACCCCGTAATGATCGACCGTCGGTGAGTGCATAAACTGACAAAGGCGGTTAACCGCGTAAGAAAGATCCGGGCGAGTAATGGTGAGATACTGTAGCGCCCCAACAAGTCGCCTATACTGAGTTGGATTGTCGTACGGTTCGTCTGATGGTGTAACGGCCTTAGTCACAGCTGCTGGAGTAGCCAGAGGTTTGCAGTCCGTCATCCCAGCTCGCTGCAAAATATCATGCATGTAACGCCGCTGAGTAAGTAATAAGCCACTATCGGTTGTTAGAGTCTCGATACCAAGAAAGAACCCCGGAGTACCAAGATTGCGAATTTTAAAAGCAGTGGATAACTGTCTGAGCAAAGTGTCAATTAAGGCCGAGTCGTTTCCCATCATTATGATATCATCCACATAGACCAAGAGGAATACCCGTGATGTACCACTCGAGTAGTGAAAAAGTGAGACATCCGTCTTGGAGGCGGAGAAACCAGCTGATAGTAAATAATCATGGAGACGTTTAAACCAAGCCCGGGGTGCTTGTTTTAAGCCATAGAGAGAGCGTTGCAGATGACACACGTAGTTAGGATGCGTAGGGTCTTCATAGCCTGGTGGCTGCTTCATGTACACAGTCTCAACAAGGTGGCCATTAAGAAAGGCATTGTGAACATCAAGCTGACGTAGAGTCTAACTACGCGACACGGCAATGGAAAACAGCAGGCGAACGGTTGTAGGTTTAACAACAGGGCTGAAGGTGTCAAAGAAGTCTTCCCCTGCTACCTGATTGAACCCTTTGGCTACGAGGCGTGCCTTGTAACGCTCAACTGTACCATCGGCTTTGCGTTTGGTGCGGAATACCCATTTACACCCGATGACATTCATATTTGGTGCAGCCGGGATTAGAGACCAGGTGTTATTATGTAGCAAAGCATTAAATTCTTGATCCATTGCATCTCGCCAATGTGGATGCCCAACAGCTTGGGAGTAACAAGTCGGATCAGTAGTGACAGTCAGGGCTTGGAATTCCTCCCAGTGCCCCGAGTCATGTGTCGCAGTCGCATGACATGACCTCTTTCTGGAGGCTGAGTGCGAGCCCTGCGACCCCTCCGTGCGGGAGGTGCCTGTATAGCTAGAACCGGGCTATCCCGAGCTAAGGGAGTGGGCTCCGGACTTAGCAGGACAGGCCCTTATGGTACAGGCTGCTGCATATCAGAAGAGACTATAGGCCCGGACGCCCAGGGGGCAGGACCTGAAGTAGTCTGCGGTGTAGCTGTATCAGGTAAACCTGCAAAAGGAAAGGTGGTTTCGTCAAACCGGACATGACGACAGATAAAGAGTTTTCCACTCGTTAGGTCCATGCATCTATATCCCCTAAAGGACGGTGGGTAACCTAGGAATACACACGGGGCTAACCGATACTCTATTTTGTGACGATTGTAGGGCCGTAGATGTGGATAACATCGGCACCCAAAGACTCGCAAGAATGTGTATGGGGGTGGTACTTTATGTAATTTGGTGTATGGACTTATGAACTGCAAGGCTGAAGAGGGTAGATAATTTATAAGACAACTTGCTGTTTCAAAGGCATAGTCCCAGTATTGTAATGGTACTGAGGCTTCGGCAAGTAGAGCTAACCCAGTTTCGACTATGTGTCGATTACGGCGCTCAACCCTGCCATTTTGTTCATGTGTGTAGGCACAAGATTGCCTATGAACTATGCCTAGGGATTGGAATGTTTTATGGAGTTTTTGATACTCACCCCCTAAGTCCGATTGAATTGACTTGATAGAACGCGAGAATTGCCATTCTACCATCACATGAAAGCACTCAAAAGTTTTATAGATGTCTGATTTTAGCCTTAATGGATAAAACCAGCAAAAACGCGAGTAATCATCTACAAATAATAAAAAGTAACGAAAACCCGACGCAGAAATAACGGGGGCCGGGCCCCAAATGTCAGTGTACAGCAAATCTAATACATTTTGACTAGATAACACAACTCTATCTAACGGAAACCGAGATGATTTTCCGAGATGACATGCCGTACACGAGCCCGACGCCTGGGACTTATTTTTGGTGACCGGAACAGTACGAAGAACACGACTCTGAACTTGATCATGCGGGTGACCCAATCTACGATGCCACACCCCTGGGTTGGCCCGGGAACTTATGAACGCGAAATGTTTTTGTGACACCGGTAGCTTGTATAATCCACCCGAGGCGGGTCCCCTAAGTAGAATCGTTTTGGTGGCGGAATCCTTCACAACAAAACAATCCTTGTGAAACTCAAAAAAGACACCGTTTTCATTAGTAAAACGATGGACAGATAAGAGAGGAACAGACAGGTTAGGCACATGTAAAATATTTGATAAAGATAACGGTTTAAATTGGGATGGAATAGACGCATGGCCAACTCGTGAAATTCTCAAACCTGTGCCGTTCCCGACTCGCAAAACATCACCGCCATTATACTCTTCAGAGTGAGACAACATAGATGCCGCCGGTGTAGCGTGAGCCGTCGCTCCTGTGTCCGGATACCAGGACTCTGCCGGAGCTGCTGCAGCATCATCGCCGGCGACTACAATGTTGGCCTGCGCCGGCGGTTGCGGGGAATACCTCTTATAGCAATAGACTGCCGTATGTCCGTGCGAACGGCATATCTGACAGCGGGGTGCGCCTCCTCTGCCACGACCGGAGCCACCACGACCCCGGCCATGCCGCCCTCGGTTCTGTCCGCCGCGAGAGTGCCCGCCGGCGCCACCATCACCGGACTGCTGGCGTCCTCGCCCAGCGTACATAGCGGTAGGACCACCAATACCTCCATCACTGGTCGCCGGAATCTCATCACTGATGATGAACTCGTGCGCCTGTAGGTAGTCCAGAAGCTGAGGTATGGTAATAGGTGTACCTGTAACAGTTAACGAAGCAGCCATTGCCCGGAATTCCAGACGTAACCCCCTGAACACGTACATGTTCTGCTCATCAAGAGACAATGGCCGACCTGCCAACGCCAAAGCTTCCACGATCAACTACGCTCTGCCCAAATACTCTGCTGTCGAATGGTTGCCCTGCCGAATCGATTGAAACTGGCCTAACAGATTCAAGGTTCGAGCACGTGTCGAAGAACCCAGAGCCGCAGTGATCGACTCCCATACTTCACGCGACGTGCTCCGGCCTACCGCAAGGTACATGACTTCGTCTGAAAGTGAGGATATGAGGAGAGATAGGATCGATTGATCCTGTTTAATCCATGCCTTGTAAGCAGGGTTTGGGCCGTAGGTAACCGTCGCAGCAGCCGAGTCTGATTCGCCGGAGGGTGGTGGCACTGCGACAGTCGCCGGTGGACACGGTGTATCGCCGTCTACGAAGCCGAGCAATTCTTGGCCTCGGAGGAAAGGAACGAGTTGTGTCCTCCAGAATAAGTAATTGTGAGAGGTCAGTTTTATGGAAACATAGTGGTGGGCGGAGGAGAGATTGGCGTGGGTGGTGGCCGGAGCAGAGGTTGGGGTGGTGGTGACGGTTCTTTCTGAGGAATTGGTGGACATGGTGATCGGACGGCAATCGGGGAAAAAAGGAGAGAGGAAAGGGATTGCGGATCGATGGCTAACTGATACTAGATAAACGTAACTCTTTCATTCAGTTCTAACAGAAGAACGATTACAATAGTAAAGGAGATGCAAAGCTGAAATAACTCCTAACTATTAGAAAAGCCATACAGGACTAAATCAACTAATACACAACTATGTAACATAATAATAATAATAAATAATAACAATAATAATAACATCACTAACAGCATGATCAGGGGAATATAATGTCTAAGGGGAGTGTTATGAAGTATTAATTATGTGGCCATTATTTGGTAGTGGTTTGTTATTTCTCCTGGTTTGTAGGAGAATATATATTGTATTGTATTATGTTCTACAGTTGAAGTGGATGAATGAGAATTTCTCGAATTTTCCCTTTGCACTCTGTATTACGATTTCTGATTCTCTCTCTCTCTCTCTATTTTTCCTTGTTCTAGCTTTTGACGTAACAATCAATTTACCAAAGATCACCGAAGATTAAATCCTGAAGGTTAACGAATATCGCATAACAATTCAATTATATATAGGGAAAATGACACTTTTTCCCCCTGTGTTGTTTACTAATAGCACATTTTCTCCCTGTGTTGTTTATGTAACCACTTTATCCCCCTTAATTGTTTTTGAAGTGGCTATTTTTCCCCCTCTCCGTTAAATAAGTGTTAGGGATGTTAAATATGAGGGTAAAAATGACATTTCACTTATTATTATTATTATTATTATTATTATTATTATTATTATTATTATTATTATTATTAATGAATTTGGTTTGCAATATAACGGTACATTTTAGGCGTGGAGTACTGCAGTATATTAGGGCGTTGGGTGGGAATTATTATTATTATTATTATTATTATTATTATTATTATTATTATTATTATTATTATTATTATTATTATTAATGAATTTGGTTTGCAATATAACTGTGCATTTTAGGGCGCGGAGTATTGCAGTATATTAGGGCGTTGGGTGGGGTCGTCCAATAATAATAATAATAATAATAATAATAATAATAATAATAATAATAATAATAATAATAATAATAATAATAATAAGTGAAATGTCATTTTTACCCTCATATTTAACAACCCTAACACTTACTTAACGGAAAGGGGGGAAAATAGCCACTTCAAAAACAATTGAAGGGGATAAAATGGTTACACAAATAACACAGAAAAAAAATGTATTATTAATAAACAACAACACAAGGGGAAAAAGTGCAATTTCCCTTTATATATATTATCACAAGTGGAATTAAATAATCTCTTTAAGACCCTCACTGGAGTGTGAATATGAATATATAAATACTGGCGAATCTGAACCCAAACACCCTAGTCTCTAGAATTTATTTTACTATTTACTCCGTATTAAACAATACAAAAGAAAAAATACGGAGTAATAATAATATAGAAACGGCAACAAACAAATACCACAGTACTAATGATTAGAGTCGGTCAACTTTGCATCAAAGTGCTTCTTTTACCGGTCGGCCACTGTCACCGCAACGAAAGCCATGCTCCCTGTCACCCTAGCTCTTTCTCCACTTTACCGTTAACAATTCCAATTCCAATAAATTTTATTTTTTTTAAGAGAATTCCAATTCCAATAAAATGTTCACCCATAATATAAGATTAAATTGCTGCCCCAAATTCAGCCACATTATAGGACCACACAACTTATTTAAATAAGAAAATATTTTGTACTCACGCCATAAATTTAATCATTATATATTTTAATAAAGTGAAAGATCATGACCATAATAACATTAAGACCCACCACAATGTCTCAAAATTATGTACAAGATTGTTTATTCAATTAAAATCACAAGATAAACTTCACTCAAAACACACCTTTAAATAGTTACATGTAAATCAAAAGATCATGGCCTTAACATTGAGATCAATCATAAGGGCTATAAAAATGTTGGTTTAAACAAGAGGGATTTGAATTGGTTAAGTATATTGATACTTACGGGTAAATTATTACGTGGACCGTGAGTCACACAATATTATGTGGACCATAAAAATATACTCCATCTGT